TGAATCCCAAACTGGGGTTTGAATTGAGAGAGAAGGGCAGACAAAGAAAGCCGTACAGCTCGTTTTTTATTTATTGCAGATGTTTCTTACAATGCTCGTGTGCCACCATCTCCTTAGGGACTCTTAGCCATTTACAAACATCCATAAAAACCCATGAAGACCATATTGCTGGATTTGGACATGAATGTTTGATAGTTTGCAGGGTTTTATGATGATTGTAAACCTTGTAAGGAGCACCTATAATAAATAAACCAGTTAGCAAATTAACATCTTTCCTAATAATAATAATAATAATAACCACTTGAATAACATCGGCATTGACAAAATCACAGTCGGTCAATTGCAAAAGGCAGCTTTTCACGGAATAGCTTACATCCTGGCATTACTTATAAGATCGTCAAACAACATTTGCCTATCCTAGTCCTTCTTTGGGAAGGACTTGATAGGTAGATAAAAATGCCAGATCCGGTCTGAACATGTGGATCCATAATACCGAAGTATAGACTAACCAAACACACTGAGCTACACAAAATGACCCTACCCTAAAGCCACAAAAAAGATGAAAAATCCCAATCCATGATAATCAAACTTAATTTCTCCTGCTCTTCACCTGACTTGCTTAAGCGTGTTCTGTGAAGGTGTCTGTCATGTCATCAGACCCCACCGTTAGGGGGAAATAAGGCCAAAAGTCACTCTGGCCATCTGCCCAGTCATCACAGCCCAAAATATAATGAATGGGTATAAATAGGTATGCTGTGTTATTTTATTTTATTTTTTTCTTCCCTCAGCCGGGAGTGCTCATTTCAGAACAAGTAGAAACTGAGCCCATGAGTCTCATTCAATTCAGTGGTTCATTTGTTGGAAAACAAATCTGCAGCCTTAGAACAGGGAGGAAAATGTAAATGAACTGGAAATAAACAAACACTCCAATGCACAAAATCTCAAGCAAATATGTGGCTCGGAGTCTCCGTGACTGTGAGTTCAGTCTGTCAAAAATAGACTGGAGAATCATTTGACTGGCCCTTCCCAGCTTTATATATTCTACATTTCATCTGTCCATACAGATTAACACAGTTGGGAGGGACCTTGTAGGTCATCTAGTCCAACCCCCCACCCAAGCAGGAGACCCTACACCATTTTTGACAGATGGCAGTCCAATCTCTTCTTGAAAGCCTCCAGTGATGAATGTCCCACAACTTCCGAAGGCAACTTCTGTTCCATCGGTTGATTGTTCTCACAGTCAGAAAATTTCTCCTTATTTCCAGGTTGAATCTCTCCTTCATCAGTTTCCATCCATTGTTCCTTGTCTGGCCTTTGGGTGCTTTGGAAAATATCTTGACCCCTTTCTCCTCTCTGTGGCAGCCCCTCAAATATTGCGACCCTGCTATCGTGTCTCCCCTGGTCCTTCTCTTCCCTAGACTACCCATGCCCAGTTCCTGCGTTCATCGTATGTTTTAGCCTCCAGTCCTTTAATCATCCTGGTTGGTCTTCTCTGCACTCTTTCTAGAGTATGTCTATATGTGTTTCTCCTAATATACCCAAGGCCTACCCAACTTCACCATGCTCACAGACGTGTGTGTGTGTGTGTGTGTGTGTGTGTGTGTGTGTGTGTGTGTATTTATATATACGCACACTCAAACATGCAAGCAATGCCTCATACAGTATCTTTGCGCGTCATTTTCATGACTGTAGGCCTGTTGAGATCAGTGTTCATTTCATCCATTGGTATTTTGAGATTTGGCCTGGAGGTATCATCAAGAATTGGAAGTGACTTGGAAACCCTTTCTAGACTTTGTTCTTTGGACAAAAACAAAACAAAACTCTGAATTTGGGATCTGCTGATTTGTTATCGTAGAAATGGCTAGTATATACTAAGTATGGAAAAGTAAAAAAAGCTGAGGTTGTAACTTTTATTCCCCTGAGCTGAAAAGAATTGAAATTCTCCCCCCGCCCTGCATCCTACTCTTTTCTCTCTTCCGAAACTCTTCCCCTCTTTCCCATTTATCCTTATATTTACTTGTATTTTTTTTATAAAGTTTTATTTGGGTTTTCACACACAAAATACAAGTAAAACATCATTTTTGAAAATAGCATGGTCCCGGGTTGAATTTCTTTATACAGACACAAAACTCAATTTCATGCTCCTTTTTGTATTCTATTCCATATCTTATACTATTTTACATTTTCTATATAGTTTTTCCACTCTTTTAATTTTCTCAATTTTATTTTGAATCTCATCTCAATTCAAATCATTATATTTATACTTTTGTCTGTTCTGTTTCAATTTCATATTATCTTTTCTCATTAAACAAATTTTCTCCTGTAGTTACTAATTGGAGTATGACACCTTTATATCTTTTAATTACATCCATTCAACTCTTATTTATATTTCAATATATACCTTAAGTTTATGACCTTCAATATAATACATAATACATAACTTCCAATCGAAGTCTGCTTGGTACATTCTTATAATACACACTATATTTTTTTTAAAAAAAGAAAGATTGTAAATATATGTAATTATAAACCCTCATTCCATTCCAGTTCAGTTCTATCATTAATAATCATTAAAATCTTAACATCTTTAACATTTCTTTTCAATTAAATATCATACTTCCTTAAAAACACATATAATCTCCATAATTAATTTTTCCCTTATTTCTCTTCACATATGTTTTATAAATCATTAAATATACCTTTTGTTACATTTATTTATTGACAAGCATTCCACTGAATTACAATAGCTATTTTATCAGACATTTTAATCATACATTGTTTCATACTTTCTAAAATTATTTCTGCTTCTAATATAACCATACTATCTTATGTACCTTTGCAGAATCCCTTTTTCCATTAAGTTTTCACCCATTATCTCTAAATAGGCCCTGTTTCTCTATATTTTGCTTCTGTCCTTTATAACTTGTTTTCCTTTCTTTCTTCCCTCTCATCTTCTCCCTCCCCTTTTTTACCCCCTTGTCTCTCTAGTTCTAATTCTCTCTTCTGCATTTCCCTCTTCTGTTGCTTTCTGATTTTATAATTATTTTTCACTCTATTTTTTTTGGAGTTGTTTTTCCCAATCTTAAACTTTCCATTCTCTTTTCCCCCTTTCCTTTTTTTCCCCCATCTAAGATTACTTGTTCATTAAAGATGGCTCTTCTTTGTCGCAATCTTCTTGTTCTGCAGGCATTTCTTGTTGTTTCTCATAATTCCAAATCTCCATTTCTAAAAACTGAAATACGAAGCCAAAAGAACCTCTCCCTTCTTGTACATCTTCTTTGTACTTTTTAAGTTCCATTTTCAGTTCTTCTAAAAGTGGAGCCATTTTAAACAGTTTTAAACAACCACCCGATTGATTTTAGTCATTCAAAACAATAACCAAGAATCCAGAGATCATCAAGTAATCCAGATAGTCCCAAGTTATATCTTCTTATTTCTTTTTCGACTTTCTCTTCCTGGGGTTTTTGTTGCGATATTTCAGTTAGAATGTATCTTTTGGAAGTCTTGTTGAGATTTTGCTGTAAGTTCTTTTTTTAATTCCAGGCAGTCTCCTCCCTTCCAGATCCTGCCCTTTTATTCTTCCTCTCTCCTTTCCTGTTTTCAAAAGCTTTTAATTATCCAGAAATCTTTATTATCCCTTTGACTTTTTATTTTCAGCATTAAATGCCTATTGATGTCAAAATGGATTTTTTTCCAATTTCTTACTTAAGTCTCTTAGCTGTCAGTATAGGAAAAGGAGGGAAAAAAACCAAATCTTTTCCCTTTTCTCTCTCCTTCGCAGCTTAAAAATCTTAGGGAACAATGTTATTGTTTTTTAACAGTTTCAATTCCAGGGTACCTTATTTGTTGCTTTTGCTGTTTGACCCGGTCAACCAAAACTTTCTCTTCTTATCTTCCTCCTGCACATTCTTTTCCGGTCGAGTTCTTCTTTGTGGTGGCCATTTCTGACCACCGCTGCAACCGCCTTCAGGAAAGGGAGTAATGGCCAGCTGGGGAGGAGAGATGTGGCTCTCCTCAACCCTGCTGGCAGTCTCCCCCCTCTTCACCACCTCTACAGGGTGGCTTAGCTCCGAAACCAGCCGGCTCAGGGCGCTCCAGCGGCGTGCACGGATCGAAGCCTCGTAGAGACAAGGTTTCGGTCTGTCGCTGAAGAAGCTCAAACCGGAAGATATTTACTTGTATTTTGTCCTTTGATAAGTTTCCTGATAATAATAATTTTTTAAAAAGGGGGAAGGGGAGTGATTTGGACAAGAAGCAGGTCTACCATTCCATTCTGAATTAAGCCAATTGTAGGAGATGACCAGGCTGAGCCTAAAGGAGCAGTAAAACGTGTCATCAGTCTCGAGTCCCTTCACATCCACAAGAAATCTAAGTCCAGCCCACCTTGAATTCCATTGGCTATTATCTACCGCCAATTTGCTTTGATTGTTAGTAATTCAGATTCTTGTAGAGTGTCAACTAAAAAAATACTTATTTGGTCTTTTTAGTTGCCAGTTGAAAAGGGAGTGGAGGGAAAGCAGTGCATGCCTTAAATGCTTCAGATAATTGGTTTGGCAGCCGAAGCTGTTGGCATGCAAGATTATTACTGGAGAGCATGATTGATGACTCTTGGCTATGGATGTGTCTCATTGGAGAATATACCTCCAGGGGGTGGGAGGAAGACCAGGGTCAAAGGTGAAATGAATGATGTGTCTCAGAGTCAGCTGCACCCAGGAAACGCCGACATGTCAACTCCTAATAAATCAATCTTTTTTACTCTGAGAGATGCGGCTAGAGACTTATGATTTGAATGGGGGTGCATGTCGGAGCCTTGACAATAGAGAGCCTAAGCTTGCAATAAAACCCTTTACATTTATTTGAACTGCCTGGATTTCTGGATTTCCTGTGCTTGACCCCTATGTGAGTGGCAATCTCAACCTCCATTATTTCTTTTGTAGAAAAACTAGGTATTTTTCACCAGCTAAGTTTTGAAATTACTACCCAGTTAACTGGTGGGGGAGCGGAATCCTAAAGGCCCAATAGTTTCAGTGCACCATTGTCTGCAGAAGAGAAAACTGAGCTCACTCACCAAGCACTTAGTGGAGATGTTCGTGCTGATATGACAAAACTGCACATTGAAAGGTTGTCTTTCTGCTACTAAGATCCATTAAGGAGACATCCTGGCTGTCAGGGAGACAGCACGCTTTTCAGTCCCAGAGAACTGCATATCCCACTTTTTACTGCTTTGATTGAATCAGAAAGAACATTTTAGTCATGAAAAGAAATAGTTTGGCACAATATGGAGAACGTTGTGCTGGCAGAAATCTAGTGTTTAGGGAGTCTTGAATGGAAACTCTTTGAACTGCTTTAAACTAGGGGAGGGTGTTTCTCCTTCATATATTTTATCTAAGAACTGGTGGACATGTCTGAATATCCAGAAATCTTCAGTGTGGATAGTAATGGATAGAGCTCTCAAGTTTCTGTCACTACTTTTGAATTATTTTAGACCAATCTTTGGAAGGGCTTACCTTTCTCTTCTCATCCACCAGTAGAATCTAGTCTGTTTTCTTTAAAATATGTATGATGACTTGCTTTCCAGCCCAAATCCTGGATAGTGGGAATGTTGAGTTAAAGCAAGTCATAGATGGGTAGGTGAGAAAAACGGTTGATGAGGTTTCAGAGATAAATTAGTTCTAGCGGCCCATCTCATGATATCGAATAGTGGAAAAAAGTCATCCATCAAGGTGGATGGAAAGGATTGTTATTCTCAGGTGCTCCTTGGAGCTGATGTCTGTTTTGATAGCCAGAAATTGTGGGGGAATCCTATGAAGATTGAAATGTTCTTCCAAACCCACCCCAAAAGAAACATTACACAGAATGAAGGAACGGAACTGAATTGGAAAGATGAGATTTTTTTTAAATTTAGCTGAGAAAAAAGAGGGGTATGAAATGTCATTCCCAAATGGATTTCACCCATACAATTTCCATCTTGGTCAAAGAACATGATAAGATTTACCCCGTACAATGTTGGATAAGTAGGTTGATCAGACATGGCTGCTGATCAACCTGCTGACAGTCCCCAAAAGGAAGCTACTGTTTCCGTATCCAATTCCTGTATTAGTCATTCATTTTTCCTTCCCAGTGATTAAAAAAAATAATGATTTGGCACAATAGGAGTCTACCACTCATTTGTGCCTCTTTTTTTTTCATCTGTCTGTAGCTGCAAAATATGAAATCCCCAAAAGCCACAGAGACAAGAGTGACCAGAGAGACCTACTGTATGGGGGCCCCTCTAGGACTTTCCATTTGATGACAGCTGTCAAGAGAGACATCTAAACTTTAAATCAGGGGTGTCTAACTTGGCAACTTGTGGACTTCAACTCCCAGAATTCCTCAGCCAACCATGCTAGGAGTTGCAGTCCCCAGGACTTAAAGTTGCCAAGGTTGGGAGCCTCCTGATTTAAATCAATGTTCATATGAAACTGAGCATTAGTTGACAGAGGGAGAAGTTAATTCAATTCCCCATAAGTGCATCTCTGTTTGGGGGCCCCAACTAAACCCCTTAGGATTAATGGAACAATAGGCTTATTTCAGCATGGAAATAATATGTGAATTATGCATATAAGCCAAATGAAGGCAGCCAATATTTCATTTGGAGTTTTAGATCAACTGCCAATAGATGCATGCAATAATTAATTCACGATCCCTTAATAATGCAAGGATATCCACTGATGACCAGATGTGTGTCTCCCAAAGTAGTCAGTCAAATGAAGCAAACAAAGAGGAAATCACCAGGATTAGCACGGGATCAAGCTAATGTTGTTACAGTATTGCATGAAGTCATCAAATGCCTTTCAAAGAAATTAGGAACCCCCCACATTTATTATAATTGCGTTTTTCCTTAAGCCACCAATCTTGGCATGTCCCATTTATGTCCTTTTGAGTGGAGTGGGGGAGGCAAAACGGGTGTTCTGACTCATAGCTTCATAGGGCTGGAAGCAGGTTCTGACCAGTTCTGGAGAACTGGTAGAGGAAATTTTGAGCAGTTCAGAGAACCAGCAAATCCCACCTCTGACTGGCCCCACCCCCATCTGTTCTCTGCCTCTTGAATCCCAGCTGATTGGCTGGGTTTTCTTTGGTTGCCCTGCCCAGGAAAACGGGGCTGGAAAGAAGGTTAGTGGGGTGGGGAGGGAATGGGGCTTTTGCAGTATCCTTTCCCCAGGAGTGGGGTGGGAATGGAGCAAAGGTGGTATTCAGCAGGTTCTGCCCAGTTCTGGAGAACCGGTAGCAGAAATTTTGAGTAGTTCAGAGAACAGCAAATCCCACCTCTGACTGGAGATTTTACAGTATCCTTCCCCTGCCACGCCCACCAAGCCACGCCCACAGAACCAGTAGCAAAAAATAAATAAAAATTAATCCCACCACTGGCTGGAAGGGATCATGGAGTTCTTCTAGTCCAACCAGCTGCCCAAGGTGGATGAACTCTTTACTCCATCCCAGATAAATGAGTGTCCAGTGTTTTCTTGAAATAAGGGGTCCTTGACACCCTCTAAGTTTGGCTGTTTTCTTGCATTTCTCTTCTTGAAAACCTACAGTGACAGAACACCCACAACTCCAGGAGGCAAGCTATTGTTCTGACCCAAACCTTGTTCCAAGGAAACAAACATGAAACGGAGGTAACAGCAAAACCTTTGAATGATTCTTTACGAATTCCATCCCTTCACAGTTAAAAGGCTGTTTCAAACTAATTGCCTCTGATAAGAATGAGCCTTGCCGAGATGGTGCAAGGCTGCCAAGAACACAAGATAAAGTTGCCAAGAAATAGTTCAAACACAAAGAGTCTCCAAACACCAACCAAGATACTCCGAACATCCACAAGGCTTGAGTGCAAAAACTTCTTTGCTTCCTGCAAAGAACTCTGGTTTCTCAGCTGGCTTTTATCTCTTAAGGGAGGGGCTGTTACCTTGCAGTCTTACTCCCGAGTCGCCCACGCTGCAGCAGCTGCTCTTTCCTGCAAGCAGTCCTGCATGCCCAGGCTCCTCGGGGAACTCTTCATCACTGCTGCCAGCCTCCACAATCTCTGAAGGCAGCATTCCACTCCCTGATGGTCCTGGCCCCATCCCTGCATCACACGCAGGCCCCTCATCTGAGTCCTCGCTCTCTGAGACCTCAGCCGTCCACACCTGCTGCTGGCAAGCCACAACAACTATGTATTATTTAATAGTTGGGTCTTCCTCTGAGGAGTTCTGAGGAGCTCGAAGATATCCAAGGTTTCCTTCCAGCTTCATGATGCTATGAAAACAAATAGCAAGAGGAAGTTCCTAAGCCACACTCTTTGTGTATACCCAAAGCCTTCCACAGTAGAAAGCAAGAATTCACCTCCTGTTAAGCTCTTATTCCTGTTTATACAACATGGCTCGAGGAATTGGTTTATCGCTAAACAAAGCCCTGGTGATTCGGAGATAATCTTTTAATCTTTTTACTCTCACTGCTAAATGGCTTTGGTTGCTCACATATAACACCTACCTGTTGGATATAGTTATACATGACAAGTGACTCCACACCAGGATTTGGTAATGGGTGATGAGAATAATGGTCTGAGAAAAGAAGGAATGGGGCCAAGGGAAGTATGTCAACCCCTCTCTAATTCTCTGGAAAGTAAAGGCAAAGGAGAGAGCCTGTTGGGGTGGAAATTAAGGCATTCGGCTAGAAACAGGGAGATGATGAGTTCTAATCCTGCCTTAGGTCCAAAGTCAACTGGGTGGCCTTGGGCCAGTCTTTCTTGCTCAGCCTTAGGAAGGAGGCAATGGCAAACCATGAGCCAATTTGGAAATGTAAGCAGAAATGTTGGGCTAACACAGGGCTCTCCAAACTTGGCAATTTTAAAACTTGTGGACTTCAACTCCCAGAATTCCTCATTCCTCATTCCTGGCTGGAGGATTCTGGGAGTTGAAGTCCACAAGTCTTAAAGTTGCCACGTTTGAAGAGCCCTGGGCTAAGATATGGGCTTGGAGCAAATCTGTTGTGGTTCACCAACAGCAGGTGCGGACGGCTGAGGTCAGGGAGTGGAATGCTGCCTTTGGAGATTGTGGAGGCTGGCAGCAGTGATGAAAAAGTCCCCGAGGAGCCTGCGCCCAGTGCGCATGCACGCAGGGTGGCTTGAAGGAAAGAGCAGCTGCAGCAGCATGGGCAACTCAGGAGTAAGGCTGCAAGGTAATGGCTCCTCCCTCAAGAGATAAAAGCCAGCTGAGAAACCGGAGTTCTTTGCAGGAAGCAAAGAAGTTTTTGCACTCAAGCCTTGTGGACGTTCGGACTCTCTTAGTTGGTGTTTGGAGACTCTTTGTGTTTGAAATATTTCTTAGTAAAGAAATCTAGTGTTCTTGGCAGCCTTGCACAACCTTGGCAAGACTCGTTCTTATCAGAGACAATTATTTTGAAACAGCCTTTTAACAGGGAAGGAACGGAATTCATAAAGAATCATTAAAAGGTGTTTCTGTTACCTCTGTTTCGTGTTTGTTTCATTGGAACAAGGTTTGGGTCAGAACAAAATCAAACAACTTCATTTCTCTTGATCCGTTATTTATTCTTGGAAATATGGCTTAGATTTTTCTGGCTCTTCTGATAGTAAGCTAGGCTGTCTTCAACTCAGTCAGGAACTGGTGTCATGTTCATTAGCTTTTCTAGAATGCTTGTCTGTCAAGCCACTGGGGATTTCTCACACAGTAGAAAATGTGTTATAAAATGATAAAATAGGAGGCCTGGCTGCTGTCACTTAGAACTGCCTTTTCAGCAAAATTCAGGATATATTGCTGCATTTTGAACAGATTCCGCATTCTTTGTCAGGGGATATTCGGGCTAATCAAGGCAGTTCCTCTTGTATTATTGCAAAGGTTTTTCATCTGCACGTAGCATGACTGAAAAATAAGGGCGACACCACACACAGCAACAACTGAGTTGCAAACATGGCACAACAGAAGGAGATTAGCCCACACAAGGAGCCCAGTTAATCGGTTCCTGATCTCTCTTAAGAGTAGGCATCAAAGGGTACTTTCTTCTAATCTCAGATCCTATTCTGAAATGGGAACAAGCCATTAGCTGTGTTCCATGTTTTAATTAAAAAGGGAGACGTCCTTTTAACAGCACCTGCATGCTATATAAAAGCACGAAGATGCCAATTAACAAGGAGACAGATGGAGGCAGGTAAAGCATGTAGAGTATAATTTGACAACATGGGCTCTTTCAGAAGCAATTTAAATTCACCTGGAGGAGGAGGCAAAGAAGAAGAAGAAGTAGCATCTCTCTCTCTGAAGAAGGATGAGCAAAAAAGAAACTCCCAAGTGGGAGGCTGTTAAACAGCTACATGCCCTTGTTCCTTGCCTAGGGAAGGCCAACATGTCAAAGCCTCAGATGAAGTTCACACAGAGCCCAGGGCCCATCTGTTGGATCTGGAACTTGTTCGCTCCTCCCAGTTATCCGCTGGAGGAGCCTTTGAGCATCCAGAGATCACGCTCAGTGTTAAAACGATTATGTGAGGCTTTAAAAAGATAACTGGAAGCATTGAAACGTTCCGTCATCTTTTGTGCTTCACAAAGGCCTAAGTCACATCTTAGTTCAAGCATTAGAAAGTGAGTTCTCCGTTTATTGCAAGACCCTTCTGTAGACGCTTCACCTTTCCTGCCACTGCTGGTCAGGAAAATAGCATATGAAAAATAGGTTTGGTTACGAGTTTGATCCTAGACATAGGATATAGACCCAAAGCCTAGTTATCCATAGGAACAGCCTTTGAGCACCAGAGATTCTCAGTATTAAAACTATTATATGAAGAATTAGAACAGGGGTCTTCAAACTTGACAACTTTAACACTTGTGGACTTCAACTCCCAGAATTCCTTCTCCAGTCATGTTAGCTCAGGAAGTGAAGTCCACAAATCTTAAACTTTGAAGACCCTTGATTTAGAAGGACTAGGGGTGGCATGATAGCAGTGTTCCAATATTTGAGGGACTGCCACAAGGAAGAGGGGGTCAACCTATTTTCCAAAGCACCAGAAGCCAAGAAACAATGGAAACTAATCAAAGAAAGCACCAACCTAGAACTATGGAGACATTTCCCGACAGTGAGAAAACAATTAATCAGTGGAACAACTTATCTGCAGGAGTTGTGGCCTCTCCACCACTGGAAAAACGACTGGACAGCCATTTGTCTGAAATGGTATAGGGTCTCCTGGTTGAGCAGGGGGTTGGACTAGAAGACCTCCAAGGTCCCTCCCAACTCTGTTATTCTGTTCTTTATTCTGATTTAAAGTCGCTTTCCAGATAATTGGAAGCATTGAGACATTTTAGCATCTTTTGTGCTTCACAAAGATCCATCTCAACTCCACTTAAATCCAAGAATTAGAAAGTGGTTCCATGTTGACTGTCAGACCCTTCAGTAGACATTGTTGCACAAAAAAAAAAAAAAAAGGCCTATGACAAACAATCAGGTTTAATTCCAACTTTGATCCTGGATACCGGATGGAGACCTTGGGTGCTTAAACCGCTAATGACCTATTTTGCTCATCTATGACTTGTTTGCCTGCAGTGATATGCAAGGCAACTGGATCTTCGCTTTTATTTTATTTTATTTTTTTATAAAATGTTATTGGTTTTAAAAACAAACATAAACAAACAAAACATAAAAACATCAAACTGTCTTCCATAAGTGTACATACAGTGTGCCGGTTGGTTTACAAATTGTTTTGTGCTTCCATTTCGTAGTCTTCAATTACATTACATATAATCTCATATTTTTCAATCAAAAACTAAATACCTTAATATAATTATTAATCAATCATTTGACTATACTTTTATTCATTCATGTTTTACAAGATAACCATAGTTTACTTAATTTATTGTATAACAGTTCATATTATCATCCCAAATCTATCCTAAAATCATTTTATAATTATAATAAGAAAGAAGTACATCTTTAGGTATTTATTATTTTCTAGAAATCTACATATTTCATTACTGTACTTTATTATCTAACCATTGATAGAAAAGATCCCAAATTTTATAAAATTGTTTATCCTCTTGTTCTCTAATTTCGAATGTCAATCTACTCATTTCAGCACATTCCAATATTTTCTTAATGATTTCCTCCTGTGTTGGTATCTTCTCATTTTTCCTTCTCATTCTTCGCTTTTATTTTTTAATTCCCTACTGTAAGGTGAAGGAACATTGCTCCTGCAACCGTCTGAGAAATGTTAAGAATGTCTAGCAGGGGTGGTATTCTACCGGTTCAGACCGGTTCTATAGAACCGGTTGTTATGATTGTGCGCAGTTCAGAGAACCGGCAAATCATACCCCTGGCTGGCCTGCCCCTCTCCACCCTCCCCTCCCCTCCACGCCCAGTCAGTCCTTATCACGCATGCACAACATTGTGTACATGCCCGACATCGCTGACTCCATTCTCCCTGCCCAGTCACTCCTTAAGGTATTTTTTCCCTCCCGACGATCAGCTGTTCTGATGATCAGCTGTTCTGGGATCCCCCTCACTGTGTTACTGCTTCACCCAGGAGGCTTCCCTGAAGCCCAGGAAGCAAAAAGGGGTGTGGGGATGCGGGCGGGGGGTACAGGGGGAACTGCACCTTCCTGGGCCCCAGGGAAGCCTTCTGGGAGCAAAAACACTCCCCCAGGAGGTTTACCTGAGGCCCAGAAGGCCCCAAAATGGCGGGAGTGCTGCAAAAAAGAAGAAGAAGCCACACCCACCCAGTCACATGGTCATGCCCACCTAGCCATGCCCACAGAACCGGTTATTTAAAAATTTTGAATCCCACCCCTGATATCTAGAGCTAGCCTGGTGATGGACTTTTTCAAAAGAAAAGCTCCAGAGATATGGGGGCCACCTAGAAGCAAGTGATGTGGTTGAACTAGCCTTTCATTTGCACAGATAAATGAGAGAGCGGAGTTACTGAGAACAACTGCTCTCTCTTTCTTTGTGTGTGCGAGTGTGTGTACAATGCACGCGTGTAAGATGAGCCTCCAATAGCTACATATATGAATTCTTGACTCGCTGCCAGGAGTTTACAATGCTCTCTACTGCTAAGATTCCGCTGGTTTCTCTACAGGGAAGAAGGCTTGTAATTTCTTACAACTCCTATTTATGATCCGGCTGTTATCTCCATCTGGAAGGAGATCTTAATTTTAGCCCACACCACTGCGTCTATTTATACATTGCAGTCTGGCAATGGTATGTTTTATTTTAAAAACTTCTTTTCCTGTCTCTGGGCTAACACTCCCTTTTCTCTCTCTCTCTCTCTCCTTCCCTCCCTCCCCCTCTCTCTCCTTCTTTCAAAACTAGCAGATAAAGGTAACGATGATTTCTACTCCAAGCGGCGTCACCTGGCTGAGCTGGCTGCCAAAGGGAGCCTACCTTTGCACCCTGTGCACGTGGAGGAAGATCGGCCATATATCTTGGAAGTGGGCACCATGAAACAAAATGGACAGAAGTCCAAAGCCACCAAGCCACATATGCACCCCTTGGCTTACAAGACCTGGGATCCTAGCGACCAGTCCCTTCGAAGGCAAGCCTACGCAACCAAAGGGAGGAATTTCATGGGAGATCCCACCACGAGGGACCCCTTGACTACACGGAGCCAGCATTATTTGCCCACACAGCCATATTTCATCACTAACAGCAAGACAGAAGTGACTGTTTGAGAGCAAATTCCCTTTGGGGCTCCTTTTTTTTTTTTTAAAAAAAGAAAGAATTCAAAACAAAGCAAAAATCTGTCAAGAAGACAACCGTGAAGACAAACAAACCAACCAACCCAGGTTTCACTTGAAGCTAGGAAAGTCCATCATCCCTGGTTGAAGAAAGATGGACTATCTCTTCAAGGGGAGCACCTGTCGAAGACTGGGTCAGCGCTTCTATAGCAATATTCCGAAGTTTGCTCAGACTTTTCTATTCCATCTGGGAAATTGACCTCCCTTCCAACGGAATTCCCTCCCTTCTCCAAACTGAGATCCATGATGAAAAAGTAGCACAATTTAGAGACCCCCATCCATTGGGTTGAGAACTCTTTCCACCTTCCAGGAGAGGAAGGGAAGACTTTGATACAATCAGGATTATTCCTGTGATTATGAGGACTATTATTATTATTATTATTATTATTATTATTATTATTATTATTATTATTATTTGCTACAAATTTTCAGAATGTTCTCTAGTCACTCAATCTGCGAACAACAGAAGGCTGAAACGGAGAGCAAAGACCAAAAGGGCATAATCCTGATTAGTGTCTGGGGGTTTTTTGGGGGCTGGGTGGGGAGGTTTTGGGGGGTGAGTACCACCGCTTAACAAAACAAGCAAGCAAGCAAAAAATACATGGAGATCACACATCTCGTGTTAAGAAAGAGCAGAGACTCTTTGGCCAACCCTACAAGACTGTTACCATTCAACGTATTACAAAGACTTGCTCATCGATTGAAAAGCTCGGCGTTTTTCAGTCTTACGTCATCTGTTTTTTCCAGATTTGTACGGGCCAAGAGTGACATGGACAGGAACCCCTTTTATCCTGTCCTAAACCCTTCATCCCACAGCACTCAAGTTACTTTCTCTCCAGCCTGCTTGGCATTGGGTTTTTTTCTTTCTCAACCTAGTTAATTATTCCCAGTTTTCAATTACTTCAGGATTGACAATAGCTAAGCGTGGGTGGTGCCTTTACCATATTATTAATGTTTGATGACTGTCTTGTTTTTAAGTGAAATCTGTACCAATTTCAGATGCTTCCCTCATCTCTTTGGCTTCTGTTCTGGTTCTTTACCCCCCGTTTTTTTTAGCTGAGAATACACTAACATCACCTTTATAATGTCTTTTTTGGCAAAGACTAGAATTGTCACTCCTTCCTGGTCTCTTCTCCTGTTGAAAACTGACTTTCCCTGCCTTCTGATTTTCGGAGTATTCTGTTGTTGCTGTTTATGTTCCCTTAAAACTTGTTTAAGTCTGTTTTGAATATTTCTCTTTTCCTTCCTTCCTTCCTTCCTTCCTTCCTTCCTTCCTTCCTTCCTTC